TAGTGGGGCTCACTCTCACAATTCTGAGATCATGACCTGAGCAGAAATCAAGAGCTGGATGCTAAGGTGACTGAGCCACCCAAGGGCCCCCACATCATTCTCATTTTTAAAAAAATCGTAATCTGGAAAAACAATCACTGTTAAAGCACTAAGAGCTAATTAATCATGCAATATGATTTCCAGATAAATACTACAAACAAAAATATAACAAAAATGGCCAGGGGAGGCTTTATTAAAGAGGCTGGACCTGATCTGCACCTTTATGAAAAGACAGAACATAAAGAGGCGAGGGATAAAATTTCACACAAAGGGAATTTTAAGTTAAATAACTTAATAAGATGAAGATATGCAAAATAAGGATTGAAGTAATTTCCACCAAAAAGGTAGAGAAAACATAATACATAAAAAAATCTTCATATACTCGAATTTTTCATAGTTATTAAAAAAAAACAAGGTATTATTATTATTACAGCTTTAAATAGTTAAAAATAAGTATTTTATTACATTCTAGACTTAAAGAAAGGTTACTTTTAATGAGTTCTATAGGAAACCTTGAACCTTTATTCAGTCACAATTTGAAATATCCAAAATGTTTTGTTATTCATGAAAGAAATTCCTCAACACACAACATAATCTGATAAACTCTTCGTATTCATGTAACTGACAACCAGGATTTGAATTCATATCCATCTGACTCCAAAACCAGAGCTACACCTGCACTCACTGCTGTATTAACTTATCTTCTTTTGATTTTAAAATCCCAAATGAATTAATCACAAAGTATAGGACAGGAGGAAGAGATCAGTAAATCTCAAACTACATAGTTACTACAAAACTTGAAATTCCAATCTTTGTATTTATATAAACAGACACAGTACACAGAAATACTATAAAGTGGCTTTTGTTGCTGTTCAATGAATATTAAGCTCTTTTTAACAAAGTGCTATTCTTGAAATAGCCTATGACAAATGGGAGGGGTGGGACTTAAGAGTGTCAGTACCCCACTCAGGTCCTTCAACCTGTTCACACATTTCTTTCAGCACTGGGTAACCAACTGGCCTTTCCTCTTATGGACATTCATCCTCCAGCCTTTCATGGTTTATCTTCCCTCTAAGACCACCCTTGATGGGCAGATTTCCTTTGTATTCTTTTCAAACATTCAGGAAGGACAGAGTAGAGGGTGTGCCCAATTTCTTTGTTTTTACCTTATAATTCAAAAAAAGCTCTAACCTCTTTCCTCCCATTTCTTTAAGGACAAAGATTCAAATACTTTCTCATAAAATAAACATTTTGTTATAGACTATATATACAGAGTTTAAAAAAAACCTAAATTATTTTATAATTACTTTAAACCAATTCCTATATTAATATTCTGAAATTTGATTTCTAGGATTGATTCCTTAAAAACGATCCATACTAAAGGAAAGAAGGCACTAGGAAGATGCATAGTTCTTACAAAACATTAAATTGCATTGGCCTCAAATATATTAATTCATTTAAAAGAAATCCATTCATTCAACCAATAACTGAGTGTCTAATGTGTGCAAGTTACTGTTCAACAATTAAAAAAAACTCCTTTCCTCAAGGAGCTGAGCCGTGGTGGGAGAACACAGATAATAAGCAATAAACATAATAAGTAAAAAGACTGTTAGAAACTGATAAATGCCGTGGGGAAAAAAATAGAACAGGGTAAGGAAGAATTCCAGGGTGTTAGGGCAGGTTGTAATTTTAAATAGGGTGTTCACAAAGGGTTTATGAAGGTGTCATTTGAGTAGACTTGAGGGAAGTAAGGGAGTCAGCCATGGTAATACCTGGGGAAGACTACTCCAGGCATAAAAACAACCAGAGCAAAGGTCCTGGAGTATCCTAGGAACAAGTAGGCCAGAGAGGCTAAAAGGGTTGCCAGCAGGGGAAGAGTAGTAAGAGATGGGTCAAGAGAGGTTATGTGTAGGGGTATATAGATTATGTAGGGTTTATGGGACACTAAGGAATTTGGCTTTTACTATAAATGAAATAAGGATCCACATGAAATGAGGATCCAAAGAAGGCTGAGCTAAGTGACATGATCTCTTTTACCAGAATGACTGCTGCGTTAAGAACAGACTATAAGGAAGGCAAGGGTGAACACACTGAGACCAGTTAGGAGGATACTGACGAAACACAGGAAAGAAACAGGTACTTCCTATAAACTTTAACCATAATGGCTCAGCGTTTTACTTTTTTTTTTTAAGATTTTATTTATTTATTTGACAGACGGAGATCACAAGTAGGCAGAGAAGAGGAGGATGCAGGCTCCCTGCTGAGCAGAGAGCCCGATGTGGGGCTTGATCACAGGACCCTGAGATCATGACTTGAGCCGAGGGCAGAGGCTTTAACCCACTGAGCCACCCAGGTGCCCCTCAGCATTTTACTTTTTAAGCTTAAGTTAAAACAAATCTGTCAGATCCTGCTAACAGGAAATAACTAGAACTTAGAAGTTTACTATATAGAGCTCTTGGCATATTTGTACATCATGCAACATAAAAACAAAGGCCATCTTTTAACAACCCACTACAGAAAAATACTTAGTGTGTTCCTTTATAATCAGCTATTCCCTTTATGAAATTTTTAAAAATCCTACCGCAGCTGAGACTATTCTTTAAAGAAATAAGCTATTATTCCTGTAGCTCTTTTAATTATATACTTTTTTGAATAAAAAAGTGCTAACTTCTGTCCACTGAAAATATAAATTATTCCCGTGGTGTTTCTCAGATCATTTAATCATTTTAATAAATCTTATTTCCTTTGGGAGGAGATGAAGCTTTTTCTTTTAATGCTCCCATTTTTAAAATTTTCTTTCAATTGATACCAAATTTGCTTATCAGTATCTGTGTCATTCACTTCAGGAAAGAGCAACCACAAAAAGTCCCACTGTCACAAATAAACATGTTTCAAAAAAATGTTCCTTCATGATACCAAAAAAATTCTCATTATCATCTAGTTCTTCTAGAAAAAGCAAATACAATTCCCAAAAATTCTAGTTATCCTTACACTGTATTATCATAAGGGTAACAGAAAAAGGGCAGTTAAAATATTCAATTTGCCTGGAAAGGATTAGGGAGCATGGAAGGAGGTTTTGAAATAAAAATCATACCTCTAAAAAAATCTGCTCATGAAACTGAAATAAGATATTGTCCTATAATAATTGAGGGAAATGAAGAGTGAAATATAAACAATTTGCTTGCTTCAAAGATTCAGAAAGATGAAAAGACTTACCCTGTGACAATTTTTGGAAGAAACAGGTGTGTAAACTTAAAACACATGGTACTGAATTCAAATTCACTAATTCATTCAACATTTCAGTGCCAATAATTTCACGAAGCATTGAGGACATAGTCCTTGTCCTCAAGGTCTTATAGTCTTCATTTATCCTAAAAGTTACCAAGTATTTACTATGAGCCGGATACTGGGGACATAACAGCATAACAGGTGACACAGGTCCATCCCAGCAAGCAGCTTACACTGGAGGAAGAAGGAAATGCCTTAATGATGAAACATACATAACACCCAAGTGTTCTATATGCGGCTTATGGAAGAGGGGGGGTGGTACACAAACAACTGAATGATGGATTTACAGCAGGAGGGAGAAGAATATAGAGATTTGGGAGAGAGGTGATAGGAAAGCCGAGTCTTTAAAGAGGATTAGATGTTCACCTGGCTGACCTCGGGGGAAGGAATCCTAGCAGAGGGAGCAGCTGGAGCAAAGGCAAAGAGATATGAGAACAGTTGTGTATTTGGTAGGCCTGGAATACACAATATGAAAGATAAATCATGGAGGCTTCTGTAGGCCACAATTAAGACTGAACTTTATTGGTATGTATGAAAGGACCCTGAGGGTTTTATTCAGAAAACCAACATATGTGATCAGGTTTTTCTGGTGCGATGAGACACTGGTTTACAAAGAAATGAGAAAAGAATAACACTAGATAATGATGTCACCACATGAAAAAACAAAGGAGACTGCCCAGTTAGAAAATTAAACCCCCTTCAGGAAAATAATTAAGCCACTTAACTATCCAAGCCCCTCTGGAAAAAAGTTTTTAACCAGTATCATTGAAAACTGAAAGATAAAGGAAAGGTTTTTATATATATTATGGATTATAACATCTTCATATCTGTTTTGAGTTCAAGAGGTCTTAGCTTTTTATTAATTGTGCAAAAATGTACGGGACCCATGACTGCAGTACAAAAAGCAATGAAATTGTTTAGGAGCAAGTCTTTGATACAAAGGGAGAACCACGAGTAACAGAAGGCATTTAAGTCAGGTTTAAAGGTTTCCGAAGTTCAAGATACTCAAGTTTTATTGAATCAGCGCGTTTAAAAGGTGTGTCATAGGGGTGGAGCAAAAGGAGGAGGGATTAAAATTAATACATACATATATATATATAAACAACTCTTGATGTCGCTGGGACTAAAATCACCACTTGAAGATCTTTTCTCATGTAGGAGAAATGAACACCTACCAGATCCAATTAACATAAACATACAGGGTACAGGGAGAGGGAGGGAGGAGAGGATGATCATACATGACAATATATATGGGGTGGGGGGACAACCACCTATCCAGAACCCATAATCCAGTTGGCGGCGCGATGAGGAAATCATCCCCAAACCTCACAGCTCAGACTACACGATTTAGACATAAAGGCAGAAAAATGTCATTCCCAAATTCCACAAGCGAACCACCAGTCATTGGCCAAGGGGATATGTTCACATACTAGAATCCTAGAACTCAAAGACAGAATACCATCCCCACATCGTTCTGAAGGGAGGTGAAGGATCTCCCCTGTTCTAGGAATGGGGAGCAATCACCCTCAGTCCCTGCTGTAAGGGGGTCGACGCCCCCCAGGCCAGGCCCTGCAGAGGCCAGGAGCAGTGACAGCCCCGAAGCCCCCTCAACCTCGGCCGGGAGCTGCCACTACTCCTCGCACCCCCTCCTCCCTACACACACCCTCCCCTACCTGATATGGCGGCGGCGGCTCCTGATCCGGCTCCGTCCCTTCGCCAAAACTAGCCCGGTCGGACTGAGACTCGTGAAGCAGGGAGATGTCATCCGAAGTGGGGGATTTGAGGCAGTTCCCCATCTTCCGGGGCTAGAATGTGTGATCTGCGGGAAGAAGAAAGCAGTGGCGGGGTCGTTCGCACGCTCCGCGGTCAGCCTCGGTCAGCCTCGGTCAGCGAGGTGGGGTCGGACAGCAGGCCGGGGCTCAGGCGGCGGCGTTTCCCCCGCCCCCCGGTGCCGCCGAAGGGCCACTCATGCCAGCCCCCGGACTTGGGGGCTCAAGGCTGGGCCGCGGGCTCTGTTGGGGTCGCGGCCGTTGCCTCTTGCGAGGCGGCAATGGGGGGGGGGGGGGCGGGGAGACGAAGCACTTCCCCACCCCGCCCCCCCGCGGGGCGGCGGCGGCCACGGAGCTGCTGGGCCTAATCCAGGTCAGGAGGGGGGGGCGCGGCCGTCGCGGCTGCCTCAGCTGCTGCCTCAGCTGCTGCTGCCCCTGCCGACGCCGGAGCCGCGGCCGCGGGCCTCATCCTACTCCGCCTCAAAGCGGCGGCGGCGGCCAGAACGAGGCCAGCTGCGGTCCTGCGTCACGCCGCCGTGCGTGCTCTGGTCCCGCCCCCGGCGCTGGGAGCCGTAGGCGGCTCCGGCTACGCGGCCGCGCCCCCCTCCCCGCCTCCGGCAGCTGTTCCTGGGGCCGCGTCAGTTTCTGCTTCTCTCTCTGACAGTTGGCACGGTACCTGTCTCAGAAATCCCTCTCCAGTCTCCCGTGCCTCCTCACTTCCACTTCTCTCTCCCTCCCCGCTTGTCTCTGCTCTTACCTGTGCACCGTTCTGACAGTCTTCTCACCGCCTTCTGCCAAGTGATCTATTTATAAACCCTTTTCTGAATGTGTCACTCCCTTGGGTAAAATGTTAAATGGCTTTTCCCCTTTATTCTTTCAGAAAAACACCCAAGCTCACTAACGAATCAATCCACTATTTGCACAGGTGAATAATCTTTTTAAAATATAAATCAAATCCTCCATTTAAAACCTTCAATGGCTTCCCAAAACTGTTACGACTGCTATGACTAAGTATTCTTATATGGTTTACAACTCTGACTACTTCCCCTAACTCATTAGCACCATTGTCCCCTCAAATATTCTAAACTCCAGGCCAACTAAATAAAGTACTTTTGGTTATCTTAGAAGACTGTTCCCACTGGCTGAGGCCTTTACCCATACTGTTTTTCTGACCTTAGCTCAATTCTCCTTCACTCTGGACCTTCTACCTCGCATCAGGCTAACATTATTCCCACGTGTCCTTCCTAAACTCATCTTCGTTTCCCCAAACCCTCCAGTCTGGGTAAGCCACCTTCTCTGAGCTCTTAGTCCCTGAGCTTTTTTCTGTCACAACCTGATCAAGCTGAATCATCTGTCCCTCCTCTGTGCATGGCCTGACACATTGCCTAAGGTAGACTAGAATCTCTTGGTTGAATGAACAAAGAGCCCAAGAAGCAATAAATGCAAAGGAAGGAAACAAGAAAGATGAGAATGCTCCCAGAAGACAAGAAGTGGGTCTGGACTCCCTTTCTTTTATTCACCATTTACTGATTATTTTTCTCCCCTCACAAGACACTATGCTAGGCACTAGGGAAACTGGTTTACCAGATCTAGCTTGTCTCTGATGGAGCCCAGAGTCCAGCTGGGAAGACAAGTAAGAGATGAGTTCCTCCCCTCCCTCCCCCCAGAGGTTTTTAGAGAGCCCTAAGGAGAGTGATTGGACCATTTGGGTGAGTATCAGAAATGATTTTTGGAGGTAAGACTCCGTTAAACTGGTATGCGCATGAGTACTTTAACTTTGGAGTCTCTATTCTACAAAATTACTTACATAAATGTACTCATATCCCATATTAAATATAACTTTTGCTGCATTCTCTCTTCCGCAAGACTTAACCTTCCTTCCCATTAATAGCTCCCACCTACATATGGGATCACTAATGCCATGTTTGTATTAGAATCTTTCATATGTCCCCTCAAATCATTACTTAATTCTCTAGCTTGAAAAGTAAAATCATTGGATTCCCTGGGAGAAAAATTTCAGCATTTGCCTCTTCCTCTCCCCCATCCTTGCCATTTTCCTGGTCTCCTCTGAACTCTCACAATAACTTCTTAATGAAGCCTTTGCTTCTGCACCATCAATCCATTCTCCACCTACTGCCATGAAAAACGTGACCAGAGAATATTCATAGAATTGTTGCTCAGAAATTTAGCTTGGCATTAAGGCCTTGCACCATTTGGTCCTATTTTTATGTCCGTATGACTCCAACTCCAACCGGGCATCCTACATTCCAACTCCATGTTGAGTTGACTCCAACTCCAGCCATCTTTACACTACTTTCTATGCCCTCAGTTTTCACTATGCTTGTTCACCTCTGACCTTCTGCCATGCTGTTTCCTTCTGCTGAATTATGCCATCCTTTAAGACCCTCCTTAAAAACCACTTTCATGTAGCTGTCCTTGATTTCGCTTAGTTAGAATATATGTAACAATAGAAAATAAATGGGATCTATTATTGTATTATATGTCACTATGAATTATATATGAATATTTTAACACAATTTCAAATATGTAGTCATAAGTGACATTTGTTAGCCTGAGCCAGACAAGTAAGAGCCCAGAAAGGTGTATATTGTAATACCATTTTGCAAGAGTAGAAATATAGATTCACATGGTTAATCAGGGCTAAAATCAGGATTTGAATCATATACCAGTTGCCATTGTTAGGTATGAGAAAGGACTACAACTTTTTCATCCTGGTATTTCTCAATATGTAAAAACAAGGGAATGGATGGGGTGCCTGGGTGGCTCAGTGGGTTAAGCTTCTGCCTTTGGCTCACGTCATGATCTCAGGGTCCTGAGATCGAGCCCTGCATCAGGCTCTCTGCTCAGCAGGGAGCCTGCTTCCCCCTCTCTCTCTGCCCACCTCTCTGCCTACTTGTGATCTCCATCTGTCAAATAAATAAATCAAATCTTTAAAAAAAGAAAAGTAATAACCAGGGCTATTGCAGTGACAAAGACGCTCCTTGACCAAACTCTAGTCAGGCTCCTCTAAAGTCCTCAAGGCCCTAAACTTGAGTTCTGTCCTTGGCCTATTTATTCCAGTATTAGCAAAAATCTGCATCATTTTTTTAACCCCACACTTGTATTGGATAACCTTAGCCCACCTTCAGCAAAAATCTTATCAAAGAGGTTTAGCCAGAATTCCCCTTAGCCTTGATGTTTTGTCTTAGTAATTTTCTATCCACTGATCCCACCTTGTTCCATACCCATAAATCCACACTCATCCTTTTTGTATTCAGATAGAGTCCATTTCTATAGTGAGGTTGCCCTTCCCCTATTGCAACAGGTCCTGAATAAAATTTGCCTTCACTACTTTTATTTTCTGTCTGCCTCTGCTTTTCTCTGACAGCAGGAGCTCTAATGCAGAAGGAGATATGATAGTCCGGTATCTTCACCGAGCTAGATATTTCTTAAAAATAGATATACTTTTTAGACAAGTTTTAGATTCATATCAATATTGAGCAGAAGGTACAAAGATTTACTATATACAGCCTGCCCCTACACATGCATAGTCTCCCCCATTATCAACACCCTGCACCAGAATGGTACATTTGTTACAACTGGTGAGCCTACAATGACCAATGACTAACACATAAAATCCTTGCTTATGTTAAGGTTCACTTTTGCTGTTGTACATTCTATGGGTTTGGACAAATTTATAATGATGTGTATTCACCATTATAGCATCATAAAGAACAGTTTCACCAACCTAAAAAATCTGTGCTCCACCTATTCATCCCTCTCTTGCCCCTAGAAATCACTGATTCTTTACTTTCTCCATAGTTTTACTTTTTTCAAAATGTCATATAGTTGGAATCATATAGCGTTTTAAGAGGTCTTTATATATCTTAGAGAAGAGTCCTTTCTCAGAAGTGTCTTTTGCAACATTTCCTTCAAGTCTATGGCTTGTCTTTTTCATTCTCTTGACACTGTCTTTCATAGAGCAGAAATGTTTAAATTTAATGAAATTCAGCTTATCTATTTTCTTTCATGTATTCTGCTGTGCATTGTATCTAAAAAGACATTGCAAAACTTAATGTCATGTAAATTTTCATCTATGCTGTCTTCTAGGGGTTTTATATATTTGCATTTTACATTTTTTTAAAGATTTATCTATTTATTTATTTGACACACAGTGATAGATCACAAGTAGGCATAGAGGCAGGCAGAGAGAGAGAGGGAAGCAGGCTCTCTGCTGAGCAGAGAGCCCAACGGGACTCGATTCCAGGACCCTGAGATCATGACCCGAGCCAAAGGCAGAGGCTTAACCCACTGAGCTACCCAGGCACTCGCATTTTACATTTAAATGTGATCTATTTTGAGTTCATTTTTGTAAAGGGTGTAAGGTTTGTGTCTAGGTTCATTTTTTTGGACATGGGTGTGTAGCCATTCTAGAACATTTGTTGAAAAGACTATCTTCTCCCCATTGTATTACTTGTCCTTGCTCCTTTGTTAAAGATCAATTGACTATATTTGTGTGGAACTATCTGGGCTCTCTATGCTGTTCTGTTGATCTATTGGTCCATTCTTTTGCTAACACCATAGTGTCTTGACTACTATAGCCTTGTAGTAAGCCTTGAAGTAGGGTAGCATCAGTCCTTCTTCAATAATCTATTGGTTATTCTGAATCTTTTGCCTCCCCATAAAAATGGAGAATCAGATGTTGATATCAATAAAATAACAGGATTTTGTTTGAGATTGCATTGAATCTATAGATCAAGTTAGAAAGAACTGACACCTTAACAATACTGAGTCTTCCTATTCATGTACATGGACTATCTCTCCATTTATTTAGTTATTTGATTTCATTCATCAGAATCTTGTAGTTTTCCTCAAATAGGTCTTTTATGTAAAAGTTTGTTAGTTTTATACATAATTATTTCATTTTGAGGAGTTGCTAATGTACATATTTCAGTTTGACTTCCAAATTCCCCGTTTGTTGTTAATATATAGGAAAGCAATTGACTTTTGTATATTAGTCTTGTATTCTGCAATCTTGCTGTAAGGGCCTATTTAGCCAGAGCGATTCCATCCCGTTAAACAGTGATTTTGTTGTTTATGCAGTAAAACTTAAACTGATCCTGCACCCCCCACTCAGGGGAACTTACTTAATAGCAAGTCCAGGAAGCCAGTAAAATATGGTCACCAGTCCCTGATAACAGAGCCTAAATACAAGGGCGGGTCAGGTCAGGTGGAGATAACAGAGCCCGAATGCAGGGATGAGTCGGGCCAGGTGGAGACATCCA